ATAGATGAAGAATGTTGTAGCTCCATGAAGTTTTAATATGCTTTTCTCTCATTATCAGTGGATATCAGTTGAATATCTCTTCTTATGCTTAAGTACAATTTGCATTTTTTTTCCTGCAACCTGTATGTTTATGTTCTTTACCCATTTTTCTGTTGGTTTTGGTCTTTTCCTTCTTAATTTGTAGAAAGCCTGTATTTGAGAGAGATTACCCTTTGTGATATAAATTGAAAATATGTTTCCCAGTCTGTCAGTTGTCTGTTTACTTGGCTTATAATATCATTTGCCATGTAAAAATTTTTTATTTTTATGAAATTAAAATTACCAATATTTTCTTTCGTTGCTTCTGAATTTTGAGTCACAGTTAGACTTCCCCACTGCAAGGTTATACAGGAAGTATCAATTTTTTTCTTCTAATAAATTAATGGTCACATTCTTTACATTTAAATTCTGATCTTTGTGGAGTTATTTTGGTGTACAATGTGAGGTATTGATCTAATTTTGCCTCTTATCAGTGGCTATCAAACATACTTATTTTAAAATCACTTATCTTCCATTTTGAGATATCATTCTTTTTACATTCTAAATTACCCTTCATGCTTGGATCTTTTTATCCTGTTTCACTGATTGATCTGACTGAGCTCATTCCAACTACTTGAATTATTGAGCTTTTATTATGTTTAATAATTGACAAGGCTAAGTCCTCCTTAATTATTCTTTTTTAGAAATTTTGTGGCTATTCTTAGTTATTTTTCCATATGAACTTTGAATTTGATTGTCTAGTTTGAACAGAAAAGATCTATAAGTACTTTTACTTAGATTACCTTATATTTTTAAATTAACGTAGAAAAAACTGTAATCTTTATGATTTTGAATCTTCTCATCTGTTTAGATCTATTTTTGTATACTTTAAGAGGGTTTTAAAGTTTTTCACATACAGAGTTTTTTAAAAATCTCATGTTACATTTACTTCTTTATTTGTTTGTTTGGTTGGTGTTTCACAGGGTCTCACTTGTTGCCTAGGCTGGTCTCAAACTCCTAGGCTCAAGTAGTCCTCCCACTTCACCCTCCTGAGTAGCTGGGACTACAGACACACACCACCATGCCCAGCCATGTTACATTTATTACTGAGTATTTTATCTCAGCACCAATAATCACAGTAGTTAATATAATAGTATCATATATATCCTTTCATAATTTTTGTACACATGTATAAACTCTTTAATGTTTCAAAGTGCAGGTGTTTCTGAGACACTTGCAGGGAGTTGTCAAGATCAAAACTGTTTAAAAATTAAGACATTATTTTCCATTTTCTTTCAGTTGTCACAAAAACAATCATGGGTAAACTTAGCATGAGTCAAGGCAGTCTCTCCAAACTTTGTTAGTAGATGTTATAATATTCACTGTCACACTTTCACAGTTTCAGAAAAATAAAAGACAGTTTCACTTAAGAAGATCCTTGATAAAGCAATAAAAATGATTAATTTTATATAAATTTTGATTCTTGGAGTCACATTTTTTTTTTTTTTTGAGACAGAGTCTCACTTTGGTTGCCCTGGCTAGAGTGAGTGCCATAGCATCAGCCTAGCTCACAGCAACCTCAATCTCCTGGGCTCAAGCGATCCTCCTGCCTCAGCCTCCCAAGTAGCTGGGACAACTGGCATGCACCACCATGCTCGGCTAATTTTTTGTATATATATTTTTAGTTGGTCAATTAATTTGTTTCTATTTTTAGTAGAGACGGGGTCTCACTCAGGCTGGTTTCGAACTCCTGAACTCGAGCAATCCGCCCGCCTTGGCCTCCCAGAGTGCTAGGATTACAGGCATGAGCCACTGCGCCTGGCCTGGAGTCACATTTTAAAAATATTCTGTATAATGAAATGGAAAGGATCTAATAGCTACATAATCATGATTGTCTCAAAAAATTACTTATACAATTGAATTGCAAGCTGATCTAGCCTTTTAAAAAATGTAACCGTTTAAAGTATACAATTTTAGTGTGTTTTAGTATATAGACTATGGTGAGCATCCATCACCATTATATATTTTAATTCTATAACATTTTTCATCACCCCCCAAAAAAACTCTATACCCTTTAAGCAGTCACTCCTCATTCTCTCTTCCCCCCCAGCCTCTAACAACCACTAATCTACTTTCTGTCTCTGTGGATTTGCCTATTGTGGACATTTCATATTAATAAGAAAAATCATTATATCTGCCTTCTTTCACTTAGCATTAATGTTTTCAAAATTCATCCCTGTAGCATGTATGAGTACTTCATTCCTTTGTATGGCTAAATAATATTCCATTGTATGAATATACTATATTTTATATATCCACTTATCAGTTGAAGGATGTTTGAGTTGTTTCCACTTTTTGGCTATTATCATTAATGCTTCTATGAAAATTCACAAGTTTTTGTAGCAACATGTTTTCATAGAACATCATTTTCACTTAAATTAGTCATTCAGACTTTAGTATTTGACATTTTCCTAAAATGAACAAAAAACGGACCTGTCACTTCAAGGAAAACAATTGACAATATTTGTTACCCGTGGTAAATTTTGAGTATTCAAGCAAAAATTTAAATTTTGAAAAACTTGCGTTAATATCTGCCAGAGTATGTATGGTAGCTTCCTGTAAAGTTTCCTAATGATATAAGTGGTAATATTAAGGAATGTAACTTTTTGATAGTGCATAATGAAATGTGTCAACATTTGGAGGAACAGAACAACTCATTGAACCAGTATTTTTCCGAATGATCAATGTGAAATACTGTAAAATCATATATAGGTAAAATGTACATTCAAATTACAAAATAAACCAATGGATATTGTAACCAGCTTTATTGAGGTAAATTTACTTATCACAAAATTTATCCCTTTTTAAGTGTACAATTTAATGATTTTAGTAAATTCACACAGTTTTTCCATCACTTCAATCTAATTTTAGAACATTTGTATTAACCCAAAAGGATTTTTTGTGTTTGCAGTCACTGACCTTTACTGGCCCCTAGGCACTGCTACTCTTTCTGGTTCTATAGTTTTACCTTTTCTGGGCATTTTATGTAAATGGAATCATAACAATATGTGGGTTTTGCATATGGCTTTTTAGCATGGTTTTGAAGTTTATCCATGTCATTATGTTTATCAATAGTTCGGTCTTTTTAGTGCTGAATAGAATTCTATTGCATGGAATGGCTGTAACACATTTTATTTATCCTTTTATCAACTGATAGACATCTGAGTTGTTTTGTATTTTTGGCTGCAGTGAATATGCTGCTATGAACATTTTTTACAGGTTTTTTTGTGGACATAATGCTTTCAGTTCTCTTGGTTATAAACCTAAGAGTGGAATTTCTATTTCATATGGTAACTGTTTGTTTAAAATTTTTGGAAACTGCCAAACTTCTCTCCAAGTGACTGCACCATTTTACAATCCCACCTACAAGGTCTGAGGGTTCCAGTCTATCCACATTTCTTACCAAGACTTGTTGTCATTTATCTTTTTTGTGACAGCCATCTTAGTGAGTATGAAGTATCTTATTGTGGTTTTAGTTTGCATTTCCCTGATGACTAATGATGTGGAACATCTTTTCATGTGCCTTTTGGCATTTGTACTTCTTTGATGAGCTGTCTACTCAATATTTTGCCTATTTTTGAATTGGGTTGTCTTCTTATTGTGTTAGAACATTTCTTTATATATTCCAGATAGACGTCATTTGTCAGATATATGATTTGCAAATATTTTCTCCAAGTCTGTGGCTTACCTCTTTTTCTTTTTCTTTTTCTTTTTCTTTTTTTTTTTTTTTTGAGACAGAGTCTCGCTTTGTTGCCCAGGCTAGAGTGAGTGCCATGGCCTCAGCCTAGCTCACAGCAACCTCAAACTCCTGGGCTCAAGCAGTCCTCCTGCCTCAGCCTCCCAAGTAGCTGGGACTACATGCATATACCACCATGCCTGGCTAATTTTTTTCTATATATATTAGTTGGCCAATTAATCTCTTTCTATTTATAGTAGAGATGGGGTCTTGCTCTTGCTCAGGCTGGTTTCAAACTCCTGACCTCGAGCAATCCGCCCGCCTCGGCCTCTCAGAGAGCTAGGATTACAGGCATGAGCCACCGCGCCTGGCCTACCTTTTTTTCTTAATGATGTCTTCTAAGGTTAAAGACATTTTAGATTTTAATAAAGTTCATAACAGTATATTTGAATATCACAGAGCATGAATAGTTCATTAGTATAGTTTTTATTTCATATTTTAATAATCCTTTAAGTTACCATTTATAAAGTTTTGGTGCAACATCACTATCCAAAAGGACTATGAAGATATTCCTCTATATTGCCGTTTCCCATCTGTATGAAGCTACATTTTCTTCATATGTTTCAAACTAAACTGTACACAACAGATTGAGTGCAGAAATAACTGTGAGAATCTAGATGTCTTTTATTAATCCAGACATTGAAGAGATTTACAAAAATGTAAAACAATATCCCTTTGCCACTAATTTTCTATGTTACTTATGTTAATGTATAATATACTTATTGTAAATTTTAGGTGAATTAATGAATACTTAAAATTTTTTCAGTTTCAATTGCTAGTACAGTAAATTTTAATAGATGTAACTTCTGTAAACAGAAGCTCTCTGCGATCATTAGTAATTTTCATTAGTGTAAAAGATTTGTGCCATTAAAAAAACTTATTTTAGAACTGCTTTTAATTTAACATGCTGGTTTAGAGTCATATAAGACAGCAGCTATATGTTGGTTGCATTGCTTTCTGTTTTTCATATAATTTGATCATGTTTATCTAGATTGTTAGCTTTTTGAAGGTGGGAACCATATATTTTATTTTTATTCTCTTTCTTAAAAGATCATAATTGTCGCCTTGGAATAAGTGTCCAGTGAAGACTTAACAAGGGATTGAAGGATTTTTCCATTGGCAAACCATGTTAGGGCAGCATTTACTATGTTGGCTTTAATGTAAACAGCTGAATTGTTTCATTCAGGTGGAAGAGCACAATGGTCACATCTTTAAGGCCACCCAATATAGCATCCCTACATACTGTGAATACTGTTCTTCTTTGATATGGATAATGGACCGAGCCTCTGTTTGCAAATGTAAGTATGAGATATCTTTCAGAACATTTTGTAAACCAACTTGACATTTCTATTTCCTTGAATTTTCTTGTATCTTCTTTAACATAAAGGAGTAATTCACACTGCCTCAATTTTTAGCCTCATCTCTCACTATACTCTCCTTCACCTCTTCTTTGTATCCAAACCAGATATTTTGGTGTTACTTGGTCACTGAGAGCTTTGTACTTGCAGCTCACTGTCTGAAATGCTCTTCTCCCAGATTTTAGTATGGCTTCATATTTCAGTTTAATTCATGTCTACACTCACATGTCACTTCCTCAGAGAGCTCTTTCCTTACTCTTCTATCTAAAATGCCACCCTGTCTCCAAATTCTCTATCCTTGTACTCGGATTTAATACTTTTTATAGCACTTATCACCAGCCAAAATTATAGTAAGTGTTCATATTTCTTGTTTTTCATTCTATCCTACTACAATATATGCTCTATAAAGTCAGGAAGCTTATCTATCTCTTCTATATCACCAGTGCCTAGAACAGTTCTGGCACATAATAAGTTTTAATAAATATTTGTTCGGTGGATGGACCTATAGATGGATGGGTGGATGAGTGAACACATTTTTACATTATAGCCAAAAAGGTACTTTTCTATTGCAATCCTTTCACCAGAATATATAAATCCTAAAATGTGAGTAGAGACTCTTTGTAGATCAACTTAGTTCTGGCTTATAGTGGACGTTTTTAGCTTCTACTCCCTTTATTTTATACATCTGCTCTGGTTCTGTCATTAAATCTGTGAAGCTTTGCTTTTACTAGTGAGCTAGAACTGAATGAAGGAAATATTTGGAAGAAACAACTTGTTCCACAAGGATGACAACAAGGATGATAGTCATGTTCACTATATATAGTGGATATATTCACATGTTCCATGTTTTGACAGCAGTTTTCCATATTGTTTAATTATAAGTAGTCAGAAAAAATTATCATGAGAGTGAAAATAGGAAGTAGTTTGAAATGTCCTTGACTGCTTAATGTTAGTCTGGCTCTTGTATGCTTAGAGTAATTTCTTCTGTGACTTCAAGCTGAAAGTTAATAGAATTTGCTTTTTTATGACTATGATGGGCTTGGTTTGATTTGCTTTCTTAATAGAATTAATTAACTTTCTTTGTTATTATCCTGGTGATTTCACCCATACAATGATATGGGCTCCCCTATTTGATCTTGGCCTTGAAACCCCCACAAGTTATACTTGAGAAACTCAAGAAAGGATATTCAGGTGTTAGTATGCAGAAGTCAGAACTGGTGTAGCCAAATGACATAGATCAGCTATGTTCTCAGTATTCTCTTCTTGATGTGCCTTTTCCTGCTCACCAACTGCCCAGCCACCCTGTTGTCTACACTCCAATAAATTAATTTTGCTTTGAACCTTTTCTTTACCTCATTTTCCCAACTGATACTCTTTATTATCTGGTTCCTTAGAGCTCTATTCTGGACCTTTAGAAACAATAAATAAGACCTTTTTTATATCTTAATGTGCTGCCCAATTTGTTTTCATTTCCGGAAGGGTCTTTGACAGTAATACTTTCCTTATCCATATGAATGAGTCTTAATAGGTATTTCTGGCATTTTAGCAGGTTGTAGAGCATATATGTGAGAGAACATGAACACTAATTTCTGAATCAAACCACAAAGATAAATATCCTGCTGCAATTTGGAGGAGGATAGTATAGAGACAGGACGGGCAGTCTTAAAAAATAGGACTCTTTTTCATTAACAGTGGCTAGAGATTTTAGGCATGTTTTCCAACTTCACTATCCCCAAGAGAATAGGTTAAAATCCTTTTTAGCTATAAGATAGTACAAAGTATATGTATATATGGTATTATAGCAGTCTGAGATTTAAAGAAAAAACTTACGTCCAAAATGAAGTTATAAACTTGATTAATTCTTACCATTGATGTGCAGACTTGTAAAAATGCTATATTCTTAACCCTTTCAGTATGCAAGTATGCTTGCCATAAGAAGTGCTGTCTGAAAACCACAGCCAAGTGCTCTAAAAAGGTAAGAAGTCATCACCTATCAGTGATATATAATGGATCTATTAGGTTTTCTGTGCCTTATAGAAAGAATCAAGGCCTCTTTGATGGTTTAGATAGAGTAGTGACCACAATCATAGTAAGAAATGTGTTTTATATCATGTTCCAGCATATACATGTAGGGGGATGTATGTACATAACTGAACTGATTTTTATGGAACTATATTATCTCTACTGTATGTGAGCTACTATTTTAATTTCACAAGTCACAATTTGAAAAACACTGCTTTTAAAAGTTTCCCACTTCCTTAAACACTTTTGAGTCTTCAGAGGAATTGTCCTTAAGACAGTGGGCTACAAGTAAAGAAGAACAAATTTAAATATGAACAACAAAGTTCACCAGCATAGCTGGTGTTTTTACATATTTCTATTTGGGTACACAGAGACCTAAAAGATACTGAAGAAGTATTCTTTGATACCTGAAGCAATCATTTTTAAATAATTTCTGGCTTTTATTGATATATAATCACAACATTTTCTTATTTATTAATCACATACCAACAATTTTTTACAATATTATGCAAATCTGAAGTATAGTATAAATATGTGTGCGTGTGTTTGCAACCTATGTATAGAATTTTCATCTGTTCCAAATTAATAGACAAATCATGGCAAAATACAGAGAGAAATTTGATCAGGACTTAAAAAGTTATACAGTGGGCCGAGTGCGATGGCTCATGCCTGTAATCCTAGCACCCTGGGAGGCCGAGGTGGGCGGATCGTTTAAACTCAGGAGTTCGAGACCAACCTGAGCAAGACCAAGACCCCATCTCTACTAAAAATAGAAAGAAATTAGCTGGACAACTAAAAATATATAGAAAAAATTAGCCAGGCATGGTGGTGCATGCCTGTAGTCCCAGCTACTTGGGAGGCTGAGGCACGAGGATCGCTTGAGCCCAGGAGTTTGAGGATGCTGTGAGCTAGGCTGATGCCATGACACTCTATCCCGGGCAACAGAGTGAGACTCTGTCTCCAAAAAAAAAAAAAAAATTATATATATATTACAGTGAAATTGAGTGAGACATTTGCTTCCAGCTAAGATGGAGTAGATTGTGGCAGACCAATTCTAAAAAAGTCTGTGTTAGCAAGCATCAGGGAGCTTCCCAGGCAGATTGGACTTTAGGGGACTAGATCCTAGAGAGAAGTGAATGCAGCATAGTGGATTAATGTATATCCAAAAAGTGAAATATTTTTCTCCTAGTGGGAATTTTTCAATTTTTGTTGTAGGACAAGAAACCAATATTCTGGGCAGAGGGCCACATTTAAGAGTCAGAAAGGCAGAAGAGCTTTTAGCAATTTCATAGGACTGTAGAGACAAAAATTGGAGTTTGGGTCTGCCAGGACTTGAAGGGACCATGATTCAGTCATTTAGAGAAGTGAGCCCAAAACTGAAGAGACTTTTCCCCTCAAAGCATTTTTAAATTCTTAAGCTGTACAGGGCAAAAGGCTTAGAAGCTCATCAGAAAAGAAGATTAGAGTTTTCTGCAGTTTCACAGTGCTAAGTGGAGAAAAATTGAAATTACAGTATCCACCATCAGAGAGGGGGACCCTAGTCAATACCCTAGACTCTCGGTGAGACCTCTGAAGAATTACACCCTAGGAATAGAGGTGAACTGTTGACAGATTGAGCTTAATAAAACAGTAAACCAGTCCTTTGAGGCAGTCCTTGATTGGATTAAGGTGATCTTTTCCTTATTCTAATAAGCCACCCATGAGAGAATAGAGTGAAACCTTTTTAAAGAGAGAAAATCCCCTAGAGCTGTCACAGTATTTTCATATATAATATCAGACATAAGTGAGATGAAGAAAAAAATAAATAGGCAATATCAATAGACTCATAGATAACCCAGTTATAAAATTACCAGATATTAATTCATAGTTTTAAAATTTTTTTGTTACTATATCTAAATAATAGTTAAGTCAGGCTGGGCGTGGTGGCTCACGGCTGTAATCCTAGCACTCTGGGAGGCCTAGGCGGGCTGATCGTTTGAGCTCAGGAGTTTGAAACCAGCCTGAGCAAGAGCGATACCCCGTCTCTACTATAAATAGAAAGAAATTAATTGGCTAACTAAAAAATATATATATATAAAATTAGCTGGGCATGGTGGCGCATTCCTGTAGTTCCAGCTACTCAGGAGGCTGAGGCAGTAGGATTGCTTGAGCCCAGGATTTTGAGGATGCTGTGAGCTAGGCTGACGCCATGGCACTCACTTGAATTTGTCGGTCACCAAGTAGTACATTGAATCTACATGAATAAAATGATGTGTAGGGATTATATTAGGTATAATAAGTAATCTAAGGATGATTTGAAGTATATGGGAGGAAGTGTGACTTTAGCATCCACGAATTTTGCTATCCAAGTGGAGTCCTGGAACCAATCCCCCATGGATTTTAAGGGACAACTGTATTAAACATATTTAAATATATATTAACAGATTTAAATATATATGTTAACAGAATCAAATGGAAATTCTAGCAGTGAAAAAATACAGTTGAAATTATAAATTCAAAAAATAGTTTTAATGACCATAGCAGAAGATAAGACTGGTGAGTTGGGTCAGTGGATATATCCTGACGTGGAGAACGAAAAGAATGAGGAAATAAACATGAGAGACATAGGGGAAAGGATCAAAAGTTCCTAAATTTATGTAATCGGAGTCCAAGAGGAAAGGAAAGAGAACAAAGGAGAAGCAATATTTGAGAGATAGTGGCTAATACATGCAGTCACAGGTTCATAAAGCACTTTTACCCTAAAGTGGAGCAAATACAAAGAAGGCTAAGGAAAAGAAAACGAAAATTTTGTAAAAGCAGTCAGAAAGGAAAAAAGTAAATATTGCCTAAAGTAACAATGTAAAGACTGCAATTGACTTCTGAACAGAAATGATGGAATCCAAGAAACAGTGGCTTGGCATCTTTTAAGTGTTGTAGGAAACGAAGACCAATGCAGGATTTGGTCCCCACTGGAAATACCCTTCAAAAGTGAAAGTGTTGTGAAGACATTTTCAGACAAACACAAAGTCAGAATTTCTTACCAGCGGACTTGTATGAAAAGAAATACTAAAGGAGGTTCTCCAGGCAAAAGGAAAATAGTCTCAAATGGAAACAAATACAGGAAGGAATGAAAAACAATGGAAAGAGTAAAAATATGTGTAAATATAAATGTAAATTGACTGAAAACATGATTTATTCTGGGGCTTGAAGTATGTATAGAATTAAAATGCATAACAACAGCAATACAAAAACATTGGTTTGGTGGATTCAAAATATTCTAAGGTCCATGTATCATCTGGGAAGTAATAAAAGTGTTAAGAATGTATTAGACTTACATATGTTATGGATATTTGTTAAAATTTCTAAAGTAACCACTAGAAAAGCAATAAAAGGATTATAACTTAAACACTAATAAATAGAGTAAAGAGGAAAAACAAAAAATATTGATTAATGTAAAGGAAGGCAAGAAATAAGAGAAAAGGAAACATAAAACAGGTTAGACAAAGAGAAAATAAAGAACAGATTGATAGATACAATTCCAAATATACTGGCAATTACATTAAATGTTAAATGAGTAAATACTCCAAATAAAGTTAAAATCAATGGAAAAATCTTAGTGATACACTGTTTACAAGAGACAAACAGAAAGATATAGAAAGGTTGAAAGCAAAAGGATAGAAATAGTAGCATGCAAAAACTAATAGAAAGGTGGTGTGATTATACTAATATTAAAGTGTATACTAAGGCAAGAAGTATTACTTCAGGTAAAGATGTCTCATAATGATAAAAGGGTGAACCCATCAGGAAGTTATAAAAATCTAACTTTATAAGCCTCTAATATTATAGCTTTAATACCTGGCAGACAAAACTGAGTAAGGATGAAAATGATATGAAAAATTTGACATAATTGGCATATATTGATCCTCTTATCCTACAACTGCTGAATACAGATTATTTTCAAGTTCCCATGAAACATATGATAAAATTGATCATGTGCTGGGCCATAAAGCAAATGCCTACAAATTTCAAAGGATTGAGAGTATTTTCTTTGACCACAGTGGAGTTAAGGTATACATCAACAAAAGATAACTAGATGATTCTCAAATGTTGGGAAATTAAGCAATGTATTTCTAAACCACAATAAAAATAGAACAATATTTTGAACTAAATGATATGAGTGTGATATAGTAAAGGTAATATACAATCAAAGTTGTACTAAAAGAAAAATTTATAGCTTTAAGCACATATATTAGAAAAGGAACAAGGCTGGAAATGATTTAAACTGTTATCTCGAGAAGGTAGGGAAAAAAAACCCAAAAACCCAGCAAATTAAACCCAAAGATGGTAGAAGGATGATAATAGTAAAATAAATGAAATCAAAAGCATTTGTGCACTAGAGGAAAATCTACAAACCCAAATTTTGACTCCTGGAAAAGACTAAGAAAATAGATAAATTTTAGTAAGAATAATCATATAATGAACATTATGTGAAATATCCCCAAACTGGAAGAAACCTAAATATGTATCAGCAGTAGAATGAATAAGTAAATTGTGTCATATTTGTATAATAGTATATAGCAATTAGATTAAACTATTGGTACTCACAAACAAAATGTTTATTGAAAGAAGCCAGAGTATGTACTCTGTTAAAGCATTTAAATAAAGTTTAAAAATAGATGAAACTAACTCATGGTATACATGGTATACATATTATATGATTCTATTTGTATAATATTCAAAAAGCAGGTAAGACTCATTTATAGTAATAGAAGTATAGATACTGATTATTTGTGAAGAGTGAAGGGCATAGTGGCTGAGAAGGACTTGGGAGAATTTTAGACTGTTGATAATATTCTAATTCTTAATTTGATCCTGGTAACAAGTGTGTATTTACTTTGTGAAAATCTGTTAAGCTATATACTTAGGATTTGTACATTTTATGTAGATCATATTTCAGTAAAGATTTTGTTTAAAGTACACATTGAAGCTAATTTGGAGGGAAAATAACTATAGAAACTTAAATTTTTTGTCTATGGCCATACCACCCTGAATGCGCCTGATCTCATCTGATCTCGGAAGCTAAGCAGGGTTGGGTCTGGTTAGCACTTGGAAGGGAGAAACTTACATTTTTTTCAGTTGATAATAGTAAAATTAATTTCCCCCTTAATTTCAAGAAACGGAATTTTCCAGCAAGTGCGCTGTAGATTAGTTGGTTTCAAATTATTTTTAAAGTTTTTGTTTAATACTCTTAAGTTTGGGTGTTTTTTTTCTTTCATAATCTTAACATTTGTAATGCCATAGGGAGAGCCATACATTTAAATAGATTGTGTGGATGTTACAATGATAGTAAAACATTTGACTAACATTTATTTTAGTTTTAATCATTGTAGCAAGCATTATTATATTTTATTTCTATAATAATTTATTGAGTATTTGCCATAGGTACCATGCTGTATATGTTCAACTTAATCTTTACAACAACCTTCTGAGGTAGAAAGGTGGTTTTCCTATTGAAAATGTGAAATAATAACTTAGCCAAGTTCATGTAGTGACAATACAAAAATTTTAATTTGTCTTCTAAATAGTCCGAAAGTAAGTGTCCTTTCTGTTCTACCTCAGACCTAGAAATACTTTTCAGAGGTGTTGTATGATATTAAGATAATTTAATGGGCTTCAAAATTAATGTGAAATTCTGTAAGAATTAAGTGATGGAATACAGAGTATGTAGATGAATGAAGCAAAATAATACTGATGCAAACTAATAAACTGATTATATCTTTCCTTATTTAAAATTCTCTGATGGCTTCCCTTAGCTACTTTGCTTTGCCCACCTTTGTAGTTCTTTGTTTCCTGTATGGAAAAGGTCTTCTTGAGGCCGAGGCGGGCGATTGCTCGAGGTCAGGAGTTCAAAACCAGCCTGAGCAAGAGCGAGACCCTGTCTCTACTATAAATAGAAAGAAATTAATTGGCCAACTAATATATATAAAAAAATTAGCCAGGCATGGTGGCGAATGCCTGTAGTCCCAGCTACTCGGGAGGCTGCGGCAGTTGGATTGCTTGAGCCCAGGAGTATGAGGTTGCTGTGAGCTAGGCTGACACCACAGCACTCACTCTAGCCTGGGCAACAAAGCAAGACTCTGTCTCAAAAAAATAAAAAAAGGTCTTCATGCCTTCTTTACTTATGTGCTGCTTGCTTTCCAATACTAAGGTTAAACATCAGGTCTTTTTAATATCATTCATTAGTTGTTTGTTATCCATCCCAGTCTTTGCTGATCTAGCTGCCTCTCTTCTGTGGTTCCTTAATGCATAATAAATATGCTTATTATTCACTTATCTCCACACAATAACACTATTAGTTTTAGAAAAAAAACTGTCTCTTACTTGATTTTGTTTCCCTGGTACCTAGCACATAAATGACAAATGTATGAATGTAAGACTGGAAAGAGAAATTAGGATCAGTTCAAGTAGGGTCTTGAATGTCAGACTCAGGAATGTTTGCACTTTATTTTGATGTGTACTAATTAACCACTGAAGTTTTTTGAGGATAATAAAGTAGAGGAAATCAATGTGGGGAACTGGTCAAAAAGCTGTTAGAATAGTCCAATTGGGGAGTTATATAGATTTGTACTAGGGTCATGATACTGAGAACAGAAAAGAAAAAATAGAGAGGGTATATTATTTGACTAAAAGAACTTGGCAACTGTGGTTGGATGCAGGTTGAAGGAGAAAGTGGGGTGTATACAGTTTTATGTTAGGGAAGGAGAATGGTGCAGGAGAAAAAAAGAAAGATTTACAAAAGGTTTTCAGTCTTAGAGATAATACTTGACATTTTTCTTTTCTGTGAATCACTTCAAATAATCTTAAGGATGAGCTGTTATTTTGCAATCACATAAAGTATAGTTAATAAAGTATGATATCAGATGTGCTATTAAAGTCAGTTTAAAAAGCTATAAGACTAATCATGGGCCAATCTGTGCCTCTGCCTTGAGTTATGAAAGTTAAACTTCTATAAAGTTTATATATACACCAAAGCATTCTTATGTTTCAGAAATTATTAACAGCTCTAATTCATATCATGTTTCAGAAATTATTAACAGCTCTAATTCATATCAAATCAGTAGATTTTCTGGTGGTACTTGGTAAATGTTCAAGCTGTTTGCATTCAAAATTCAACCCCTTCTCCCACACCGAAATCCTATCTTTCCTTGAAGAGATTTTTGACAGGAAGGGAAATAGTAGCCCTTTGCCACTGCCTTCATTCTCCACTCCATTATTTTCTTTTGGGGATTCTCAGTGGGAGAGGATTGAAACAAATACCTTATTTATTTATACTTTAACTGTATAACAAATACCTTATTTATTTATAATTTAACTGTAATTCCCTTTCTCCCAACTCTTGTAACTATGCTCACAAAACTTCAGGGAAATAAAAAGTAGTTCCTCTTCAAGAATTGGTTAAACATGTTTAAAGATGTTTGAATACGTTTGGAAACAAACAGTTATCTTCTGTTTAGTATGATCCAGAGCTATCATCTCGACAGTTTGGAGTTGAACTGTCCCGTTTGACCAGTGAAGACCGAACTGTTCCTTTAGTGGTGGAAAAGCTCATAAACTACATTGAAATGCATGGACTGTATACAGAAGGCATTTACCGAAAGTCTGGTTCAACTAATAAAATCAAGGAGCTTCGACACGGTCTAGATACAGGTAAGAGAGTGCCCTCCAGATCATGACCAAATACTTTTAAATAAGTCATTTCATGCTCTTAAAGTTTTCTTTTTCTTTTTTTTATTTATTTCAGCATATCATGGGGGTACAAATGTTAAGGTTATGTATATTGCCCTTACCTCCCCCACCTTGAGTCAGAGCTGTAAGCACGACCATCCCCTAGACGGTGTGCCTTGCACTCATTATGTTTGTATATACTCATCCCCTCCTCCCCCCTCCCACCTGCCTGACACCTGATAAATGTTATTCCTATATGTCCACTTAGGTGTTGATCAGTTAATACCAATTTGCTGGTGAGTACATGTGGTGCTGGTTTTTCCATTCTTGGGATACTTCACTTAGTAGAATGGGTTCCAGCTATATCCAGGAAAATACAAGAGGTGCTATATCACCGTTGTTTCTTATAGCTGAATAGTACTCCATGGTATACATATACCACATTTTATTAATCCACTCATGTATTGATGGGCACTTAAATTTTTCATTACATGTTGATTCTTTACTTATAGCCAGAAGAATGAGATATTTTCTGCAGTGCTTGATTGTCATTTTGTGGCTTTCTAAAGAGTTTTTGGTTTTATGTGGTCCTTTTAGCAAACATACGAGTATATATTTGAGTGTATATATTGTATATTAAGTGTATCATTTGTACAAGGCATTACTGAGTACTTGAGACAGATTCATTTAATCTTTTTCATAATTCAGTAAGATCAGTATACCTCTAATTTAAAAAGAAGAAAATTTAGATTCAGAGAAATTAATGAGCTATTGATAATGATGCAGTGAACTATGCTGATGATTTTATAATAATCTTCTTTCTTTTTTTTTTTAATAATAATCTTAACAACCCCATGAATTAGGGATAGTATTATCCCCATTTACAGATACAGTAATTTAGGCTTACAGAGGTTCTTCCCCGAAGACTTATCACCCATAAGTGACAAAGTTGGGAGTTCACCCCAGATCTTCTGAATTCATAATCTAAGCTACTGCCCATTACCCTTGATTACTCTGACTCCAAATGGTGCTCTTTCCAGTGTATCTTCTTGCCTACCTACATTGATGATATAGTGACTTAAACTGATAATTAGTGAGTTGAACACGTGTCTTTGTAGAGCTCTAGCCTCAGTCCTGGAATGTATACACTGGCTTTGGTTTCACTCTCAACCTCTGTTCTTTACCACTGTTGGAAAGGAATAGATCTTGTTGAACCAAAGTTAGGTACAAAGCTTGTCCCTGTGTAGCCAACAACCTACCCACAATGATGTTTCTTATGAACAAATCAGTGAGAAATGAATTAGTATGGAAATGATAACAGAATGCCTGGTAAAACTCAAGCAGACCAGAGACTTGGTTTACAAACAGTTGCCAGCTTTGTCGCTTGTACTTTGGAGTAGCACAAGTACAAATCATTCATCCTGTATCCTCCCAATCATTTAATCTGTATAACCTCAGGGAGTTTATAAGTGAAATAGGGTAAAGGTGTTTTATTTAATTTCCTAAGTTCAATTATCACTGTCCTTTCATCTCTAAGAATGACTTAAAATCAGCCCTATTTTTAGAAAATGCCCATTTATGCTTTCTTTCCATTGTCTTCTAAAACATTGGTACTCAAAAGTATGGTGTACACATCCGTAACAGAATAAGTACAGAGATTGTGAAAGCAAGCATTTATAAACATTTATAGCAGTTTAATAATGTTTCCACATCACAAATATGTGATCTTTTATTTTACACATTTCAGTCAACAACACATTTGGAAAACAAACAAGAACTATTTCTTCACAGTTAGAAGCATTGTTCCAAAGCATGGAATTAGATTGTGGAAGATACAAGTTAGTCAGCTTAAGAAACTTGAAGACCTCTGTTAGTGATGGTAGTTTCTAAGTGAATTATTTAAATCATTTTGAATGTTTTGGCTTTGCTATCTACTTTTGTCTCTAAATAGATGCTGAGAGTGTAAATCTAGATGACTATAACATACATGTCATTGCAAGTGTATTCAAACAATGGCTTCGAGATTTGCCCAATCCGCTCATGACCTTTGAACTCTATGAGGAATTTCTTCGAGCTATGGGTAAGCACAGGCTTCTTGGGTTTAGAAAAAAGGCCTATATCCGGGAAAGGAATGCCATCTTCATTAGAGATTATTAAGCCATCCTCTAATGCTTTAGTCTTTACAGATCCAAAGATAAGCTTTTAACAGTCAATATAAAACTCCCAGTGTACCCTCACCTATTTAAATGAGTCTCTTTAGAGATTCATTAAAATATCAGTATCTTAGAAGTTTTCTGAGTAAACCATTTTGTTGCTTCTCACAAAGAGATTGAAAGACTAGGGTTATAAAACAGATTAAAAGATTAAATCTGAGATTTAAAAGTATGCTTATGAACGTTCATTTAAATTGTGAATCTAGGCAAGAGCTATGTGTAAAGCTAGCTGTTTGTTTTATGCCAGGCCTAACAGGTTTTGGAGTTTAGTTTCTCAGTGTCATAGATTTATAGAATATTGATGAAGGCCTGCCTAGAGGTATTTAGGCCTTGAGGATTTATAAATTATATGACAAATTGATTCCATTTCTGTTTTACTGGAAATCAATATGCCACACAATGGCTGGAAACTAGACCATCTCTTTCCCTTTGCTGTAATTAAGGATTACTGTGTTGTAGATTAAAATTTAGGAGACTGCTTATGAATATAGAGCTCAAGCAAGTGAGTAAAGTGGTAACTGTGAGTTGCTCTTTTCCTGCCAAAAGGCATAACTGCCTCTCCTAAACCTCTAGAGCTAGCCTTCCCTGCTTACATAGTGTCTGTCTGGGAGGAGGATGTAGCATATAAGAGGGGATATTTAGTTATATTTGCTATTCTGATGTTTTTAGGCCTACAGGAGAGGAAGGAGACAATCCGTGGTGTATACTCTGTGATTGACCAGCTCTCCCGAACTCATCTCAATACTCTGGAACGCCTCATCTTTCATCTAGTCAGGTAGCCTCAACAAGCAAGGGAATGTTTTGTTTTGTTTTTTTGATACAGAGTTTTGCTCTGTCGCCTGGGTAGAGTGCAGTGACATCATCATAGCTCACTACAGCCTCCAGCTCCTGGGCTCAAGTGATCCTCTTGCCTTAGCCTCCCAAGCAGCTGAGACTACAGGTGCACCCAATGATGCCCGGCTAATTTTTCCAATTTTATTAGAGACAGGGTCTCGTTCTTGCTCAGGCTGGTCTCTAACGCCTGAGCTCAAGCAGTCCTCCTGCTTCAGCATTCCAGAGTGCTAGGATTACGGGCTTGAGTCATTGCCCCCGGCCACAAGGGAATGTTTAATAGTTTCTGGATTCTTTTAAATAAATAAAGAGCTTCTCCATTTAGAAAACTGACATATATTAGGTTATTAAGTATGAAATGTCCAATTTCCTTAAGTACTAAGTTTGACAGTTGATATTTCTGACATTTCACTTTGACACTTCTTGTTTTATTTTTATCGTGATGGTACGTCCTCATTCTTTCAAATGTACGATTTGGCTTATGATTCTCTTTCAAATTTTTTTAGAGCAATTTTTGTGAAGCCATGGATAAGTCAAAAATTTGTGTTATTTTAGGATACGAGTTCCACCATGGAACCAGTGAAGTGGAGACAGCTTGAAATATCAATGAAGTGTTTGGGAAGGGTGTGGCTAATGAATGCACAGTACATCGATGGTTTGAGAAATTCCATTCCAGTGATTTTAGTCTTGAAATAAGCCATGTGGGCAACCAAGGTGAATAATGATGAGCTGAAAGCTGCAGTGGAGGCAAATACATCTCAACCTACTGGTGAATTAGCAGCAAGGTTTGACGTTACTATTCCAACAATATTGGCCCATTGGAAACAAATGGACTAGGTAAAGAAGCTGGATAGATGGGTTCTGCATGAATTAAACGAGCATTAGAAGAGAAATTGTCTGGAAGCTTGCCTTTCTTTGCTGTCATGACATAAAGGCAAACCATTTCTAAATGGTATTGTTACATGTGATGAAAAATAGATTCTTTTTGATAATCACAAGCATTAATGGTTGGATAAAGATGAAATGCTGAAACATAGTCCTATATATTTAAACCTAATATTCATCAAAAAAAGCTAATGGTGTCTGTTTGGTGGTCCAGCGCTGGTATTGTACACTACACCTTCATGAAACCTGGTCAGTTGATTGCAGCGGATGTCCACTGCAGCCAAGTGGATGAAATGATGAGGATGCTTGCAATTAAGCAGCCCAGATTGGTCAGTAGAGACAGGCCAATCCTCTTTCAAGACAGTGCTCTATCACATGTCACATAAACGACGCTCAAACGACAGAAGCTGGACTTAGAAACTCTCTATCTTCCACTGTATTTACCAGACCTTGCACCAACCGATTATCACTTCTTCTAGGCTTTGGATCACTTCTTTTTTTTTTTTTTTTTTTTTTTGAGACAGAGTCTCACTTTGTTGCCTGGGCTAGAGTGCCATGGCATTAGCCTAGCTCACAACAACCTCCAACTCCTGGGCTCAAGCGATCCTCCTGCCTCAGCCTCCCAAGTAGCTGGGACTACAGGCATACTTCACCATGCCCGGCTCATTTTTTCTATATATTTTTAGTTGTCCAATTAATTTGTTCCTATTTTTAGTAGAGATGTGGTCTCGCTCTTGCTCAGGCTGGTCTCAAACTCCTGACCTTGAGCCATCTGGCTGCCTTGGCCTCCTAGAGTGCTAGGATTACAGGTGTGAGCCAAAACGTCCGGCCTGGACCACTTCTTACAAGGAAAAATGTTCAATTCTCAACAAGCTGTAGAAAATGCCTTTTATGATTTCATCGCCACTTGCTTTCCAGCCCTCTTCGCTGCTGTCATAAACAAGCTACCATTAAGATGGCAAAACTATTGATAGTTTAGGTGGATATTTGTACTGCTTCTTGTTTGAGATATAATAAACTAAACTTTTGATTCAAATCGGACATTTCATATATAATGACTTACTATTTCTTTTTCTTCTTTTTATAAAGTCAGTATCTCAAATGGGTGGTTAGGATTCCTTGTAGCATAAATCTTGAGCTGAGCTGAACTACATGGCAAGTGTTTCTGTGCCCTTATTTGAGCCATTTAGCAGCTTTAGCTTCATGGTGGCACTCTGTAGCTTAGCTTGTTATTTTAACTCCTGAACTAGAAAGGATGTATATCTGTTGACATAACCTAATTCATGGGAAGTGAGTTCAAATCATGCTCAGCAATTGATTGACCAAAGGGGTGTCAGGAGTAGTCTCTCTTCCCCTCTGTGTAAATTTCAGCAGTAGTTGAGAAGAAAGCCATCTTTCTTTTTGGTTTGATATATAACTGTCTGAAAATGCCTTAAAGCATCTACTCTGCATTCTTTAGACATGTTTGTCTGGTGATATTGGTGTTGAGCAGTAGGTCACAAATTTCCCTTGGTAAGAAATCTGCTGACCTAGACTGCTTCAAGTAAGGAACAAAGTGAAAGTACATTCTCCAGAGGCAAAGGAACAGCTTTGGGAAGTCTATAGTGTCTCCCTTTAACTGATGTGGATATCTTTCCAGTACTATGCAGTTGATGTCATACTGTCTTTCACTCATCTCTTCCACCTGCCTCTCTACTCTTCTCCTTTTTTATCTCCTTTTTACTTATTTTTTGCTTTGTTTTGTTCCTTAGGATTGCACTACAGGAAGATACTAATCGAATGTCTGCTAATGCTTTGGCCATTGTGTTTGCACCTTGCATTCTGCGCTGCCCAGACACCACTGACCCACTACAAAGCGTACAGGACATCAGTAAGACCACCACGTAAGGCCAGTCATCATCACCTCTGCAAGACCTCAGGGATTTCTGAGTTGTTTCAGTCATTTTACCCAGATACAAAACAGTGAATGATTTCATAAGTTGAGGTGTTTTTAAAAAGATTGTTGGACACTGTTGGGTTTTCTTACACTGAGGATGCAAACTCTTAGATTCAATCTAGCTGAGCATTGTTAGTTTTAAAAGGTCTTATTTTTTAAATTGAGCTTTTCTTTAGGACTTCTTATAGTTTCTAAATAGATTTTAAAATTCCATTTTACCAAATTGCATATACTTTGTATTGTCCTATAATCTAGTCTAACTATGGTCTTATGGCTCTGAATCCCTTTAGTCTTAATATCTCAATATTCCTACATTTTACCTTGGTGTTTTTTCTTGAGCATCTGCTTTCCTTTTGAAGTGGTTTTCTTCTGCTTTCCTTTTTAATCTTGACTGCAAAAGGAACTTAAAAAAAAAAATCAGTATTTGTATGAGAGTCTGATTTAATTGGTCTGGGATTTAGCCTGGCATCTTCAAATGGCTTCTAAAGTGTAGCCAAAGTTGTGAACCACCATTCTAAACCTTGTCTCTTGAGTTCATAAAGTAAGGGATGTTGTTTTTTTTCTTCAACTGTCTACCACACTTAGATAAAAAAACAGTCTGTGGATGCTGTACTTTATTTAATTTACTTCAGCTCTTAACAGTTTTCTCTCTTCCTCCTGTTTCAGCTGTGTCGAGCTCATTGTTGTGGAACAAATGAATAAATATAAGGCTCGTCTCAAAGACATCAGTAGCCTGGAATTTGCAGAGAATAAGGCAAAGACCAGGCTGTCACTGATTCGTAGATCAATGGTAAGATGCAGATGTGGAATCACAGGGAAAAATGGGAACCTTCTTGGGATTTTAAATGTGCACTTTTAGGTTACGGAAGGATTATTGTCAAATCTTTTTCATAAGGGACAAATAAAAAAATCACTAAATGTTAGGGTGCTATGGATGCCCCATGTTTAATCTGCTAGCTCTCTTTTTTTATGTGTACAGAATATGTGATTAAATGTGTAGAATTTTTTAAATCAGATATTTGGATAAAATGTTGGTGGCTTAATAATCTGCCTTGTTTTCTTTTAATGTCCTTTTTTATGAAAACTTAATGCTATCCTAACTTTTTTCTCTACTTCCTTCCACCATCTGTTCCCACCTTCAATCATGTCATTTTTGGTGGTCCTGCCAAGACTCCTGAGGTACAGAGAATTTAATCAGTTGCAACCAAATCATTCGATTCTTAAGGAAATGGAATTCCATCTATGAGTCTACTATTATCAAATAAAGATTTCTTGAAGGATTTAGTGTTAGGTTTTGAGAAAAAGCCTTGTAAAAATGATAATTTATTTCCTCCATTTGCCCACTTTTCTATGTAATATCTTCCTTTGCAACCAGTGACCTATATATAAATGTCTCCAGCTCTCAATGACCAGTACTCAATAGAGTTAGGGCAACTAGAAAACTACTGCTGCATTAAAGTTTAATTATTGCCCATTTACTACCCTTCCTCTCAGTTGTAGAATGAAATTGTAGCAATGAGCACCCATTGAGATCCCCAGTAAATCTCTAAAGAGAAGCAGTCTTCTCCATCATCATGGCCATACTTTTCCAGGGGCCCAGCAATACTTCTTCCATATCTGCATAGTTTATACTTAAGTTAGCACTAAAATAACTCTGTTTCTTCCTTTACTGTTTAAACTGCCTGGCACAGAATAAGTGCCGAACAAAGATCTGTTGATTAAGCTAGGGAAGAGTCTTCTCTAAAAGCAAACATAAGCATAAACTTTTTCCAGGCAGTAAAGGTAATAAATAAAGCTCATCATAGGACACTATCTAAGTCTTTTCCCCAGAAATCCCATTTAAAAGTAAAATTCATTCTGTAGTATGAATTTTCAGGAGCTCAGTCCTGAAGGACCCAATTTAGTAGTGCCCATCCAGGTAGGAAGGAAAGAGCCTTTTGCTATAAAGCTACTTTTCAAAGTAGGTAGACAAGCTGTGCTTTTTCCCGATGCTGCAGGAGATGGATATAGTCAATCCATTGAAAGATTAAACCTTCTCTTTTAATGGGGCAATGACATGTGCATTCTAACCTCTGCTTTCCTTTTCATGTCCTTCCTAATCCAGAAACCTGTACTAATTGCAGTTAGATTCATGAGCATTACCCGCAATTCAGTCTCGGTATGTATTAATAATGCAATGTCTCAAGCCACTCAACAATTATTGTCTCTCATTCATCCAGGAATTGTCTACTCTGTCTATCATTCATTCCTGTCCACCCTCATGTTCAGCCCCAATTCAGGTCCTACTTTCTGATCAACTTTCACTTGCTTTTCTCTTAATCTCTTTCTTTAGATCCCCATTTTCCTTCCTTCCTCTGTAATTATGCAGTTGAATAGCATCCATTTAAAATATACTGGTTTTCCTTATCAGAGAAGCCTCCTTTTGAGTTTCTTCTTTGACTGAATAGTTAAAAGGTGAAAGTTGGAAGTATTGAGGTATCAAATTAATTTCTGTTCTATGAGCTGTGTTCCCAGCAATCTCCTCCACTTTATTATTTGAAACACCTATTACCACTTTCAGCATCTACCATCATGAGTTATGCTTATTTATCCATTCATATCTGTGACTCTAATGATGTCCTCACAAATGTAGAAATATAGTTCTTATCTACTTAGCATTTATCAATACAGCTACAAATAGGAGTGAACAAATTGACAAATTGATTCTAGACTTAAATATCATAGTATAATAGAGCTCATCCCAGGATCTCATTGCTGGTGCCCCTCTTCAATTTCATTGGTTATACAAAAAAGGAATGGAGGGATGAAAGGCTAAGAATATCAGTTGGCTTGAAAACTAATTTGAGAGACTGTCCGTCTTTGTGTAGCCATTTCATTAAGGAACCTTAATCAATTGGGGTATAAATACAAATCAGTTTTGCTTTTTGTCTATAACTGCCTCTCATCTCTATCATGTCAGATTTCCCTTTCTTGCTGGATATCAGCATTTTATCATTATTTCATAATTTTCAAATATTTCAGTCTCATTCCAGTATTTAAGACTCAGTTCTCTTTATATTAAAGCTTCACAGTTTTAATCCAGTGCTCTTCTCATTTCCTCCCAGAGCAGACTAGACCTTAATCTGAAGGTTAAAACTTTGGGAGGTCGGGATGGGTAATTTCTGATTATCACATACTTCTGCCTTCCCTCTTTCTTGACCTTTTCTCCTCCTGGTGTTGAGACTGGGAGAAATGATAAGGAAGGCAGAATTCTGCATGATATCCTGGTGTTGAGGTGTCAGTCTTCTTTCTTGGTTGTTCATCACGGCTATTCTGGCTTGTTGTCAGTAGGCTAAATGAAAATGAGTCATAGCTCCAATTTTCACTGCTCACGGTGAACTCAGTCCTATCTCATTTCTGTAAGCATTGACGTTCCCTTGCAAGATTTTGTTACATCTTCCGACTAAAACCTGACTGTTGGCATTCACACCATGTGAGAAGCCATCAAAATAACAGGGCAGTTACAAGTTTTCCAAAATTCTAATATTTGTTTGAAGTCTCTATATTTTATCACTCACAACAAATACGGTCATCTGCTCAACTTGAAATTAGAGGTTCCTTTCATACAATTTCAAAGCAAATGTACACCACATACCCAAAGTCTGAATAATCATACTTTGTCACTTATTATAAAAACTGTTTTGTGAATAAAGCAGCTAATTTAGCTTTCAATTCAAGCAATTTCACAGATATTCTTTCTTGAGATAACCATCAGTATGTAAGCAGAGGTACTTTCTATCTACTTCCCATTTCATCATACAGAAAATAAAAATAGTGAATTCAATGGTTAAAAATTAATAAAATTAATTTATACTACTTGTTCAATGACATGAAATGAAATTCACTTTTAAACTATGAACACAAAGGATACGATGACTGCTAGTATCATTTGGTACCATTGCCTTGATTCATTTGAAGGTGCCAGCTTGAGGCCAGGATTTCAAGGCCAGCCTAGACAACACAGCGAGATGTCATCTCTACAAAAAATTAGAACAGTTACCTGAGTGTGGTGGTGTGTGCCTGTGGTCCTAGCTACCTGGGAGGCTAAGGCAGGAGGGTCGCTTGAGTCTGGGAGTTCAAGGTTACAGTGATCTATGATTGTACCACTACACTCCAGCTTGGGTAACAGAGTGAGACCCTGTCTCTAAGGAAAAAAAAAAAAATTAAAAAGCATCCTTTTGGCTGGGCACAGTGACTCACACCTTTAATCACAGCACTTCTGGAGACCGAGGTGGTAGGATCACTTGAGGCCAGGAGTTCAAGACCAGCCTCAGCAACATAGCTAGACACCATCTCTACAAAATACAAAAATAAAATAAATAAAAAGCATTCTTTCTATGATGCCCTATAGTTCCCCTGTTGTTATAAATCAGGGGACTTTTTATGTGTAGGTCTGTTTCTAAACATTCTATTTTGACTGTCTTTACTCCACTACCACCACTATTTTAATTATGATAGCTTTCTTAAAAGTATCTGGTAGAACAAGTCATCCTACCTTCTTAAATAGTGTTTTGGCTATTCTTGGCTCTTTATATTACCATATAATTTATATAATCAGCTTCAAAACCTTCACTTGGGATTTTTATTGAGATTGAGATTTATTGAGTGAATCTACAGATCACTTTCTAGAGAATTAACACTTTTACAATATTGATTTTTCCCCTCCATAAATACAATATATCTCTCCATTCATGTAGATCATTAGTTCTTCTCAAAAGTGTTTTTATAGTTTTGGTGTTGATATATTATACATCTTTAATTTGAGTTATTACTTGGTATTTAATGTATTTAAATTCAATTTAATATTACTTTACAATTTTCATTTTCTGTTAATTTCTCATTATATAAAAACAATTGATTTTGGTGTCTTTCACCTTGTATTCAGTGATTTTGCTGAACTCACTTATTCTAGTAAGTTTTGGGCAGCTTCCTTTGTATTTCCTGCTTGCACAGTCATATCGTTCATAAATAATGATAGTTCCATTTGTTCTTTTAGACTCCTTATAGCTTTTATTTCTTTTTCTTACGTGAGCTAGAACTTCCAGTGCAGTGTTGAATGGAAGTGGTACTACTGATCATTATTGGTGTGTTCTCAACCCCAAAGAAAAAGCTTTCAACGTTTTACCACTAAGTATGATGTTTCCTATAGAATTGTTATAGATACTCTATGATTTTAAGCATGTTCCCTTTATTCCAGGTTTTCTAAGAGTTGTTACTGTGATGTAATGTTGAACTTTATGGAATGTCTTTACTGCATGTATTGAATTGTTCATGAGACTTTTTTATTTTATTGGTATGACACGTTATACTGAATGAATTTCTAATGTTAAACTATCATTATACTACTACAATAAACCCAACTTTTTATATGTTTTTATATTATATAGTTTGTATTAATATATTGCTTGAGTTTGTGGTATGTTTAGGATTTTTCATCTGTGTTTATGAATAAAATTGACCTATAATAGTCTTTTTACTGTACTTGTTATATTTTGGTATCAAGGTTATGCTGGCCTCTAAAGACAGATAGGGAAATAGTCCTTATTTTTATTCTGTAGAAGAATTTATCTGTTATTTCTTCTTGCTTGCCAGTGAAATCTAGGCCTAGAGTTTCCATTTTGGAAAGGTTTTGATCATGGATTCAATTTCTTTAATATCATTCATATTTTAATCATTGACATTATTAATTAGTTGGATTTTTATAGAAATTTCTCCACTGTCTAAAATTTCAGATTTATTAACATAAACTTGTTGATAGTAGCTTCTTATCTTTTTCATGTCTATAAGATTTGTGGTGATAGCCCTTTTTTCATTCCTGCCTTTGCTTATTTGTGACTTCTGTCTTTTCTTCATTCTTGTCAGGGCTTTAAAATTGGTATTAGTCTTTTCAAAGAGCCACATCTAGCCTTTGATCCTCTTTTTCTCTAATGTTTGTTTACTCTTCTCATTATTCCTTTTTTCTTTGGGGGGATTTTGTTATTTTTTTATCCAGTTTCCTAAAGTGGATTCTTCTTTAATTTTTAACCTTCTTTTCTGTAATGTATACATTTAAGACTATACCTTTAAGGTAGACAGAGTTTACACAGGTTTTGATATTATCATTTAATTCAAAATATTTTCTTGTTTCTATTGTGATTTCTTCTTTGACCATGGGTTTTTTAGAAGTCTGTTCTTAATTTCTGAATATGTAGAGATTTTACATTTTCTCTTTGTAATTACACTATCAGAAAATGTGTTTTAAATTACTTTAATGGTCAGATAAATTATTTCAACCCTTGGAAATTTGTTTTCTTGCTGTATGTGCTTTAAAATAACGAGTATTCTGTAGTTATTAGATATTGAAGTCTATGTATGTAGTTGTTTCGTTCTTTATCTTTACTGATTGTGTGTACCCACTTATTCTCTCTCGGTGCTGATCAGAGCTTTGTCTATTTTTTTAGTATTTCTGTCAATATCTTATTTTAAATCTTTTGAAGCTATATGTACAAATGTGGAAATGTTATATCTTCTTCATAATTTGAACTTTTGTCATTGTGAAATATCCCTGTTTATCACAGGCAACACAGTTTACTTTGACTACAGTTAATGTACCAGCCTTCTTTTGATTAGTATTTGTATAGTATGTCTTTTTTTCCCTTCATTCTTTTACTTTCAGCCTTTCTGAATACTTATATTTTATATATGTCCTTTGAAAACATCATTTAGTTGGGTTTTCTTTTTTTTAAAATACAGTTTGACAATCTTCTTATGGGAACGTTTAATCTAGTGACATTTAATGTAATCATCAATATATTTGGATTTAAAATCTGTATCATTATGTGCTTTTTATTTGTCCTACCTGATATATGTTCCTTTCTCTTTTCTTTCTTGGTTTTTTTTTTGTTCTTTTTTACTTTTTTCTTTTGACTACTTTTTATTATTTTATTTTTTTCTTCTGTTAGTTTAGAAGTTTTGCACCCTTTTTTAACTCTTCTTTTAGTGGTTAACCTGAAGATCACAGCGTTGATCTGTGATCTCAAAGTCAAAGATCTGTGATCTGTTGATCTCAAAGTCTGTTAATGGGTACTTTCATCTTTTTCTCAGATCATGTAGGTACCTTAATATGCTTTAGCTATGCTATGATTTTTGTTGTATATTTTAACTATCTATATATTTTAAATCCAATACATCATTATTATATTTTATGTAGTCAGTATTTATTTAGACTTACATATGAATTCTTTAATTGCCTTTCATTTTACTCAGCATCTCCAGTTTTTCTTTTTGAGTCATTTTCTATCTGCCCTTTCATATTTCCTTTAGTGCAGGTCTGCTGGTGTCAGATCATCCTCTTAAGTCCATCTGAAATGTCTTTATTTCATTGTCATTCCTAAAGGTGGTTTTAGCTATATATGAAATCCTAGGTTGGTAGTTACCTTTTCCTTTCATTGGCTTGAAAATATCATCTATTGTTTTCTGCCTTCCATTATTTCTGCTGAGAAATATCTTTGAATCTAACTATTGCTCCTTTTTGCAGATAATTTGTTTTTTCTGACTGCTTTTAAAATTTCTCTTGCCTTTTGTTTTTAGCAGTTGTATGTCTTGGTGTAGACTTATTTATCTTTCATAGGGGTTGTAGGCTTTCTTAAATCAGTAAGTTAATATCTTTAATTGCTTTTAAAAAGTGCCCTGCCATTATGTCTTCAATAGTTCTTCTATAGGATCTCTCTCCTCTCCTGGCATTCCATTTAAACATATGTATGATAGACCTATCTTGTATCTTGCCTTCTTAGAATTTTTCTTTTTTTGTTTGTTTGTTTGTTTCTTCCTACTTGATTCTGGATTTTTCCTCTGACCTATCTTCCAGTCCACTACTTCAACTATGTCTTCCTTTTTCCTTCAGCACATGGTTAAGTCTGTCTGATAGACACACTATCTGGAGTCATTGAGGGTTTCTGATTTCTGTTGTTTTTACTAGTTTTCATTTACATTGTCTTGTCTCCTTTTGTGCCTGGTTGCCTTTTATTGTGTCTCAGATATAGTATTTGAAAAATTATTTATGAAAATATTTTGAGGCCTAGGATGACAGTACTTTCCTCTGAAGAATATGTTCATTTTTTTCTGCCAGGTCCTAAAGTACTAACAATCTGAGATTACTTTAATCCAATTTTAGGGATTGTAATTTTCTGGGCCATTCAGATGACTTGAAGCTAGGCTACAGTGTCTACAAGGACTGTTACAATTTCAGTTTATCCTTATGTCTAGGATGCAAACCTTGGGGATACTAATGTCAGGTGTGGAGGTGTTACTAGACAGCAAACCACACCCTTGAATGAGTCTGGACTCTAACTTTTATTCTCTACCCCAGGGGTTGGAAAACTTTTTCTATAAAGAACCAGATATGGGAGGCCGAGGCGGGCGGATTGCTCAAGGTCAGGCGTTCAAAACCAGCCTGAGCAAGAGCGAGACCCCGTCTCTACTATAAATAGAAAGAAATTAATTGGCCAACTGATATGTATATAAAAAAATTAGCCGGGCATGGTGGCGCATGCCTGTAGTCCCAGCTACTCGGGAGGCTGAGGCAGTAGGATCGCTCGAGCCCAGGAGTTTGAGGTTGCTGTGAGCTAGGCTGACGCCACGGCACTCACTCTAGCCTGGACAACAAAGTGAGACTCTGTCTCAAAAAAAAAAAAAAAAAAAAAAAGAACCAGATAGTAAATATTTTAGACTTTGTGGACCAATCTTTGTCTCAACAATCAACTCTGCCATTATTCTGCAAAAGCAACCATAGACAATGAGTGAATTAATGAGAATGAACTTATTCCAATAAAACTATATTTACAAAAATATGTACAAGGTTAGATTTGGCTCCCACGGGCCATATTTTGCCAACCCCTGGTATAGTCTCTCAGAAGCTCTGCTTGGACTCTTAGCCACATATTCTGAAATTTAGATTAGCACTGAATGCTGTGGCAGCTCTACTTGACCTACCTTGTTAGCTGTCTAGGACCTTCAAATATATGTTGAGTCTTTATAGTTCGTCTAGTTGTTCTTAGCAGGAGATTTAATCTAAAAATCCTTATCTGCCATTACCAGAAGCTAAAGTCATATATGAGGTAACCGTTATTAAAAAACAATGAGATTATCACCCCCCCAATCTTAAGAATAGAAGTTTCTTGAGAAAATATATCTCGTTAGCACCCTATATAAATGACTACTCAGTACACAGTGGATTCCTATACTCCCACCCACTGAAGTGTTCATTTTCCAGTGCTCTTACAGGAAATATTTTTACCTAATGTGTTGGATGAATTATGTCTCACTAAATATCCTAGGCCTCACAGAATGTTTCCATTTCTTCTTACCATTCACTTGGTGTGATGGAAGTACACTTGTTATCCTAGATGGGTAATGTGAAACTGATGGATTTGCTCCTTTTACTTTCTAACATGAATTTTTCTCTGCAGGGAAAGGGGCGTATTCGTCGAGGAAACTATCCAAGTGCATCCTCTCCTGTTGTAGTTCGGTTGCCTTCTATGTCTGATGTCCCAGAAGAGACCTTGACTAGTGAGGCATCCATGGAAACTGACATTACAGAACAGCAACAAGCAGCTATGCAGCAGGAGGAGAGAGTACTGACTGAGCAGATTGAGAACTTACAGAAAGAGAAGTAAGTATCCAGGAGGAAGAGGAGGGACCAGTTATTTTCTATTTTCATGTGCTCTCTTTTTAAATTTTTTCTTATTAAATATCTCCTGTGTGCCAAACCCTGTGTCAGGTGATACAGGAGATGTGGAGATGACAAAGGCATGTTGCCTGTACTCAGGTAACAGTGTGAAAGTTGTCATCTCAGGGAAGGAAGTTCCATGAGCTGGGAGACCTGATGCTGCTACAATGATGGTCTGGAGAGGCTGACTGGGAGGAGGACACAGTACCACAGAGTGTGTCAGTCTTAGTCAAGATTCATCTGACAGTAACAGTGGAGAGCTAAGATGAGGTACGGGAGTCCTGACAGGCCAGAGACCAGCCTCCATGAACAGATTTGTTTTGCAAAGAAGAATAAGAATTCCTAAGGTAAAACAAAGTCCCTTTCAAGAATGGGCATTATTCACACATCCACGAAGGAAGGTTATTATCCAGAGTTCAGTATGGCCATGGGACCAGCAACTGGATATTCAGGGAAAAGCAGCAACCCTAGTGAGTGCTGGGGTGCTGGGTAGGGAAATTGGTTGCAATTTAGGAAGGAAAGTTCCTTTACCTCCATCATCACTGGGCAGGAGTCAGGTGACACTACACCTTGGGGATAATATGACGTCCCATGGTTCTCCCTAAAGGTACTGTGTATTAGTAATGCTGACTCTTAAGGAGTCTTAAGGAAATCTTTGTTCTGAGTTCCACAATGCCAGGTCTAAGAACTTAGTTCCTGAGGGGATATGAGACTGTTAAAAGTACTTTTGTTTATCAGGATTGATTCTGGAATTTAGGCAAGCTAAAAAAAATAGCTGGGATTCAACTGTGGAAAACATGATCAGGCAAAGGTGGTGTACATTGACTGTGAGCTATTAACACATTGACTGCCATACTAGAAAATAAATTTTTTCCTTGGGGCCACAAAGTTTTATTATAAAAATAGAATGAAAAGTTCAAAAACAAAATAATACTTTCTAATTTAATGAAAAATTTTGTTTTTTTTTTATTGTTTCCAGTGCATGCAACTTAAAATATAATTCTTGTGGCTCCCAAAATGAAGAGACGTATCAGTTACATATGCTTCATGAGGCCCTGGGTTCAAAACTAGCATGAGTTAAATACAAATCACATGGCAGTTAATGGGTTAATATTTGCTATAAGAGTAGTCTGAAAAGAGGACCTAACTCAGCTTTGATGAAGATAAAGTATTGGAAGTATTGAAGGATGAATAAGAATTTGCTAGGAAGGGGAAATTCTTCCTAGAAAAAGGAAAAAGTATGAGCAAAGTCTCAGAGATGTGAATGCACATGGCTTAGGACAATTTTGATTGCAGCAGTGAGTTGTTGGTGAGGCTATCCTTGAAATGATTGTCTGTGGATCTCAAGCTAGGTAAAGGGGAATTGAAACTAAGAGGGCTCTGAGAGTGGGGAGACTTGATTAAAAGGTAAGAATTGGAAGGATAAGGAGATTATGGACAGAGTGGAGTATTAGATTCAGAGTTTGTATATTTCCAGGTAATGACAAGCTCCAGGCAGGGTCTGCCCATTGGAGAAAGTTGCTTAGACTGGCCAGGCGTGGTGGCTCATGCTTGTAATCTTAGCACTGTGGGAGGCCAAAGTGGGAAGATCACTTGAGGTCAGGAGTCTGAGACTAGCCTAAGCAAGACCCCATCTTTACTAAAAATAGAAAAATTAGCCAGACATGATGGCACACATCTGTAGTCCCAGCTACATGGGACATTGAGACAGGAGAATTACTTGAGCCCAGGAGTTTGAGGTTGCTGTGACTATGATGACACCACTGCACTCTAGCCAAGGCTACAGAGTAAGGCTCTGTCTGAAAAAACAAAAAGTTGTTTAGATATAGTGGAGGAAAAGATTGCTAGAAATTGCAGACATAAAGGAACTTTGGTGTTAGGGTATTGAAGTTTTTACAAAGATATTAATTGAAATAGATCAGGGTAATGTCAGACAGTAGTAAGAAAACAATTTTAGGAACCAAGTACCAAAGATCCTCAGGGATTGAGGAGGCATGACCAAGAGGTAGGTGAGTAATATGATGAAGAAGAATAGAAAATGCCGTAACTGGAGAGGTTGTAGTTTCAAAGGACAGAAAAGGTCAGTCAGTGTTTACTTTATCTAGAGCTCTCTCTGTGGTCAAGGTAGGGGGATATAGTCTGTAGCCAGTTAGTAAAGCTTCATGGAAAATAGTTTAGGACTGGAAGGAATCTTAGAGATTATCTAGCTTAACTTCTTTGTTTTTTGTTGGGGCAGCTGAGATCCAGAGAGAGGAAAGTATTAATACTTCTCCTGATGCCATTATGGAAATTATGAATGAGTTCAGAATCCGGATCTCCTAATTATTAGTCCAGAGTTCATTTTACCAAAAGATCTCACAGCTGCAGCATCTTTTTCCTCCCTACCCTTAGCTCTATTATTGTTCCTAGATTTGCTGTCTGTCATTTCATCTTTTAGGCCATATAGTTTTAGCCTTCACCATTACTTTGGCATATAGGCCCTTATCACCACCTGAATGAGAACAGTAAGAAATGTGACTCTCTTTGCTACTTAGATTCCTGACTTTCATGGGAAGTCTTTTTTCCCATTATCTTCCTTTCACTTCCTATCAAATGCTAGTGGATTTCTTGATTGTATCTTACAGAGAGGAGCTAACATTTGAGATGCTTGTACTGGAACCCCGTGCCTCTGACGATGAAACCCTTGAGTCTGAGGCCTCCATTGGGACTGCCGATAGCTCAGAGAATTTGAATCTGGAGTCTGAAGGTGCCTTCTCTGAGAAATCAGGTAAATGAACGTGGTAAACCAAAGACTGCAGATTTGTTTTGCAAAGGAGGAATAAGAACTCCCAAGCTAAGACAAAGTCCCTTTTAAGAATGCAGTGACCCTACATGAATAGTTAACAAAATCTTGGAAACACTGAGCTTTGTGAGGCTTACATATAAACTATTCATCAGACCAACCCATGATGTAATGCAGTTTTTGGTAATTTAATGTTTTCTCCTGTATTTACCACAGAGAAAAGCCAATAACTGCAATACATGTCTTACTGAGTCATGACCCATTTTCTAAGGGTGGGTGGCAGGAACCGTGCCCCTCTGTGAGATGGGACTATATGTCGAAGGCACGTCTCAGGGAATTGTAGAACTTACTACATATCCTGGCAGTGTTTAAAATGGTAGTGACTGTCCTAGGCCTCTCCTGGTGACACAAACACCAGACTTCCTTGGGGTTGATTCTGAAATGATATATGTAGAGGTAGATGGTGAACTCTTCTTACGTTATGACTGTGCACAAAGTAGTTCAGACTGGACTCTCCAGATCTTAGCCCACCCAATTGCATGTGTAAACAGTGATACTTATTCATACATAATGATTTGCTTTAGAGGGAACTATCATTTACAGCTTTGGTCTCTTTTTGGCTTTAGAGAGGAGCTTAACCCTTAGCTCCCTGAAGGCAGCTGGCAAGTCTGAACCTTCAAGCAAGTTGCGAAAGCAGCTAAAAAAGCAGCAAGACTCTTTGGATTCAGTAGACTCTTCGGTTTCTTCTTTATATCTGTCTAACACTGCGTCGTCTCATGGAACCAGAAAACGATTTCAGATTTATTCCAAATCACCGTTCTATCGAGCTGCCTCAGCTGGTGAGGCCCTGGGAATGGAAGGACCACTGGGCCAGACCAAATCCCTGGAAGACAGGCCTCAGTTCATCAGCAGAGGAACCTTCAACCCTGAAAAGGGCAAACAAAAATTAAAGAATGTGAAAAACTCACCTCAGAAAACCAAAGAGAATCCAGAGGGGACAGTCATGCCTGGCCGCAGGAAAGCTGTGGACCCAGACTGCACTTCCACCCAACAGTTAGCACTCTTTGGAAATAATGAGTTTATGGTCTGAACTGGCAGATGCGTTTCCCTTCACAGCTACAGAGTGGTAAACACATCTCATCTCCGGGGCTGCTTCGCATCACCTCGTCCACAATAGTTCATCCTAATTGTGGATCCGGCCTTTTGCCTAAGCATATGGCTAAGACCTTGTGTGCTGAATTCCTGGGCTTCCTGCAGAAGCGGAAAGTCCTCTTGAAGCCTGCTGGGGGATGGTGCCAGCTGTGCCTTGGCTGCTGTATTTAAGTTGAGATTTCACTAAACAAAGCCACCTAGAGCCTGGGGATTTTGGTCAGTTGTAGTTGCCTCTCCCCCACCCTCTTTTCCCTTCCCAGAGGTGGCTGTGTTGAACTAGGTGGGATATTGTGGGCCTGAGGGACCCTCTGATTTCTGTCTGACATTTGAGGAAAACATGTAAATCTTTCTTAACCATGAAAGCAAAAGCCTTTGGGTTTATTTTGAGATAGTTTAGGAGCAGGGTGGAATATAATTTTTTTCCAAGGATTTATAGACAAAAACCTAAGCCCTCTATTTTAAGATTTTTGAAAAACATTCCATGTTATATTCTGGAGAAAGTAAAAAAGTGATTGTTTCCATTAAGACATCAGATTGTCTCAGACATCTGATTATAAAGTGAAGAACAGAGTACATGTTTTGTTTTTTGATGATGTTTGATGTCATAATAATCACTGCTGGTTTAACTCCTGTTTAGTTCATGACAAATATATTACATGGGCTAAAGTGTCAGTAGCCATACTATTCTTATGTTTTCTGGTCCTAGGATCAGATTCCCTTTTTTTTTTTTTTTTTTTTTTTTTTAATTTCCCAGAAACATGGTGATCTCTACACACGAGGGTTTCATCCTAATCCATTCAGGCTTTTCTCTTTGTATAGATTAAACTGAAGACCACATATGAACATATTCATCTGCTGGTGGATTCCCACCACAGGCTTAGACCAATAACGTGACCATTTAATCAGCTCTTTGCAAACATTCACATACAACATTGCATGAGTAAGTGTTACAGAAAGCTGCCAAAAATAAAAAGGTTTTTAATATCACCCATCTAACTTTTATCTTCTTTTCCTCAGACCATCAGTATTAAATAGATTTTTTTTTAAATCAAGGACTACTTGAAGCTATTTTTTTTAATATTCTGGTTATTGAAGTTTACTGTAAGTATATATGTATAGTAGGCATATTTCTTTTTAACCTTGTGCTTCCCTCCTTCCCATGAAATTTCTTCCCACAGATTAGGGGCCACTGGACAGGGGCTGAGAGCCACTCATCATCATTTTCACCACTGGTGGTCTTCATACACCTGAGTTATAAAGCATTTAAATGTCTTAGCATTCGTGGGATTAGAAATCTGTTTTTGCTATTTATATTATGAAAGATGAAACTGATACCCTTTCTTAAGTATGTGAAAGTGTTTATTTTTAAAGTTACTAAATGCATCTTGTCTAGCTACTACATGCACTGTTCTGAAAAAGAGCCTTTACCATCTATAACCTGTATTTTGGTTATTCTTCCTTTTCATACTTCTTTAATTTGAAGTTATAGAAATATTAAGTCCTTTTTTTAAGGCAAAGTCTCTCCTGTAAACACAACATTGAACCTCATGCCACTGCTTCAGTGGCTACTGGCCAGCCCCAGAGGTCAGACATGGAGCATAGTTTTGAGTGGTAGCTAAAGGTAGCAGGAGTCTTGCTTCTTCCTGGTTTGGGTTCAGAATTGAGCCAGGGAAAGGAAGCTCTTAAAATCTCCAGAATGATGATGGTTAATGAGTAAATGTTAAGTCTTATGTCCCACAAACATCTGCCACCTTGTTCATGTTGTCCTGAGGAGTAATAAATGTTAAGCCTTTAACAATCTTAAATCTGAAGAATCTGCTAAAGGAAAACCCCTCAGCATAGTATGTCAAAGTGGGGTTTCTGGTTCCTTGGCCAAGTGCCAGGCCACACAACGTGTGTGTTGGTAGCCTTGGGAGAGTAGTGTGTTACTGGGCATTAACTGTTACTCTCCACTTGCTCCAGAATGTTGGTTAAATACCATATTTTTAAAAAGAGATTATCCTTGTTGAATAATTTCCTTTGGCCCAGGGGAATGGCCCGGGGAACACATCTTGGCACATGTTCTTCCTTCTAAAACTTTGTGAGGTTTTTTGGCAAGATAAATTTTTGGCAGTTAAAAAACTACGTATATAGGTCACTTTATAGGAGCTAGGTGATGGATGTTAAGAGACTTGATAATTTTTCTCAGGGACCTAAAACCTGAATTTGGATAAAATTAAATAAAAAATATTTGTTTTTTGGTTGCTATATTTGTGGATTTCTAGTTATTTAACAAGCTACCAGGATGGGGAGCAGGGTGGGGAAGAAAGATCCACAGAGTTGTAAAAATAGTGAGCAAGTGTGGGTCCCTCCCTTTGAGGGCAAGAAAGCTGTTCTCGTAGGATAACAGGCCTTGTTGGCCTGATAAAGAGATGAAGCCATACTCTTAAAAACCTTCAGAACCAAATGCTGTATCTACTTCCATCTCTTCTTAACTGGTCCTCTGCTTGGTTAAAGTTATGTCACCATAAGGTGATGCTACATTACAACACTTAGGATTAAGATATTTAATCTTAATATATGTCAAATTTGTGATTTCCTATTGCATCTCCTTTGCTTCTTTTCTTTCTCAAATGCCTCAAAGGAAATCTCTGCATGGCAACAGTGGGGCAGCCCCACATTTGGAGCTCATACTCCCAAATGCAGAGCATTGTAGTCACAGCACACATTCCCAGCCTCAAAACCTGGATTGTCAATTCTGCCCATTAAAGCCAACATATCCCTGTAATTGTGTGTATCTTAGAAAATGTAACAGAAACAGAGAAGTGTAATTTCATTCTGAATCACAAATTGTAGCAAATTAACAGCAATACAGGCAGAGTTCAGGGAGGTAACATGCTTAGTTTGCAGTGTACTTTGTACTTCCTGCCATTTAAATTATTTTGCCACTCTGGGCTTCTGCAAACACAAAGGGAGATACAGCCCTCCCACTATGAGCCTTGCAGAGAGAGACAGAAGGACCTGAGATGGGGGGCTAGAACCCTTACCTTCTCATGCTTTGGAAACCTGCTATAGCTCTTACCCTGCTGGAAGGTTAGTAAAGACTTCTATGTTTCATCACAGTAGTGTTTTTACTGACAAAGACAGAGTCACAGAAATGTGTTGAAAAGATGCAGGCCAGCAAGGTTCTGTATTCCCACCTCAGTGCCTGTGGGCTGCATGTTTTTAACTGTAACTAATGAATGTGTACCTCTCACAAGCACTTTGGTGAACTAGAGAGAAGAAAACATTCTCAGGATGTGTTCAAAGCTAAGAGAGTTTTACTTTTAAAAAGAAACATAGTCCAGATGGCTTTCCTCATCATCCTCTTTCTTTTTCCTTCATGGTGGGGAGCTGGGTGTGGGGCATGCATCATTCTGTATTGACAAAAATGTGTTATGTCCACCCATACTTCGGTGACAACTCCCCAACACTGTACCCCAACACCATGCTGGCCTTCGTAATAAAGTTTCTTGGTATTTGTGGGAGTGGTCTTTCTATATAAAATATTTTTCACCACTTTTCTCTGGAACCACTCCCTCATTTGATTTGGTGTTAAAAGGGTAATAGCAAAATGATGATTGTGGAGATGGATCTCTTAGGTCTTGATGGTCTCTCGGCTGAAACTGTTTTCAAAAAAGCCCCACCCATTCTTAATGCCTATTTATCAGCCCTCTTATGTCATATAAAAGTTGCACCTTTTGAACCAAGTATTTGTATTTACTATGGGAAAGGTGTGGACTACAGTTTAGTATTATATTATTTTAATGGATTTAAAGTAATTTATAAGTATGCTGAGTGTAAATTTTTAAAAGACTATGTATTGTAAAGGACATATCCTGTGAAATATAATATCATTTTACTGTTTAATAGAATAATTCTATAAGAAGAATGATTTATCTCACCCACAGAACTGATTACCTTCCTGATGCAATCAACAGGCACTTTGTAACTTCCTTTTTGTTTTTATGGAGGGTTGGGGGAACAAGACATCGTCTGTATAAAGTGCAGTTTGTGTCACTCCAAATATGCACTGTATGGCTACACAAAAGCAGCTAGATGAACAAATCACCCCATGGCTCATTAAAGAACAAAGCTTCCAGAAGTAGCAACATGTGTGGTTTGTTTTCTGACCATTCTGGCTTCCACTCCAACTCAACATGAAGAAATAGCACTGAGTTCATAGTTACACTGATCAGTTATGTAAAAAGGACCCAACCCAAAATTGACAAAGTGCAGAGGTAGGTAGTAGTTATTTGAACTCAACTGAATTCAAGTGAAGATGAGAGTCAGGGTGTTGGTTTTTCTGTTATGGATGCTAGCTGATTCATATCATCAGTTTAAAGCTAGATGGGCAGGGAAGGCATTAAATCTGCATTAAGGATCCTTACCTAAATTGAGGCCATTTGAAGATGTGGCAAGATCTGTTAACAGAGGGCTTAAGGATTTTTGCTGAAAGGCAGCACAACACATTGCAATAGAAACAAAAGTTCTAACCTTTTTGTTTTGTTACCTGGAAATCAGTTCTCTTCCTCAGGTTTCCTTGAGATGGAACCCCTACTGACCTTTAGGTTTCAGTGTAAAGGTCAGTGGTACTGGAAAGCTTGCTCTGAACCCTTGAACTGGTTTAGATGTCTTGTGTTCTCTACAGCTCTTGGTATTCATTGCATCAAACACTTGGTATAAGCCTCTCAAGGCAAGAAGTGTGCCGTCTTGATGACCTAGGTCTCCAGCACCTAAGAAAAGGTGCTGGGCACTTAGATATTGAATGAGAGAGTTGAATAGGATCACTAGTTCCCAAATGCCAAACCAGGTTTTGGGTGAAATGGAAAAAAAATTAATGTAGTGAAATTTTCCCTATTGCCAAATTTATTCAATTTTTTAACATCTGATGTCATGCTCATTTCTTTTTGCATCAAATTTACATTTACATTTTTGCATTAAAGTTACATTACTTTGAAATAGGAATAGTGAATGTTAGTTTCTTAAAATTTCCTTGGTTAGCCAAATAAAGCCTAAAAATACCATTTTAAAAACCTGGTGCTGAGATTACTGAGTCTGTAACACACTTTCTGATTATGAAGACCTGAAAACAGAAAGGTATAATATGCAGTTGTAAAGAAACTAGAGCTTTGGGATTTGTTTTTTTCCCCTATAGGGGTGTTAGCACAGTGTTCTAGAGCCAGGGATATAACCATGGAAGTAGATGAGGCATATTTAATATCTGTTGAATCTTGTAGGCATCTCAGACTCATAGTCAAGAAGTGTGTCATTTCCAGATGCCATGTGGTCATTCATCCATTCATTCAACAAATACTTAGCACCCACAGGCACTTTCCTAGGTGCTTTTGGTACATTGGTAAACAAAGATCCCTGCCCTGTAGAGGTTGCATTTTAGTGTGGAAAACCAACGATGTCCACCGGGTGGAGATGACTCATTCATGACATCTGGGCTCCATTATCAGGTTATATTTATGAATTTGAATAAGCACTTCTTGGCATCTTTGAGTCTTTTCCTGCCCTTCCTACCTTGAAAGTAGAGAAGAAGTGTCTCATGAATCTGAAAACTGCAACTTTGATTGGAAATAAAGACCTACATAGGGCTCTAGGGACTACTTCTGTGGTGGTTTCATGACCAAAAACATTTCTGGCCTTGAGGGCAGAAAAGAGCTTTAAAATGATCTCTTCTCTTAGCAAGGACCCTACATGCAATGAGAGCCATTACCTATCAGAATTTCAGTGAGACCAATTTACAATGAAAGGTTGCATAAATCCTAGGATACGCTGAGAGCTGTATCCATGTTAGGAAAGCAGAAACCGCTCAGTATATTATAAGTGAGATGGACTCAGTACAGGGGTGGGGAACCTGTGGCTTTCTACGTCCTTAAGCCTTTTGGCTAAATCCAAATTTTACAGAACAAATCCTTTTATTTTTATTAATACATTTTGTTCATCTTTTATAATATTTT